GACCCGGAGCCCATGACCCAAACGCATTGTTTTCTGCGTTTCTGGGAACGTTGCACGGAGTGTTTGATTGGTACCATAAACATACTTGCCGTTGTGGTCTGATAGCATACACACCAAAAAACTCAAGCTTCAGCGAGGTTGCGTAGGACTGTCGCGCGAGTCAAATCATCAACAGTTATTAATTTTTATTGACGATTTCATCAGTTCCAAAGACTTAACCCGGCCGTGCTTTTTATCAGCTTTCCCCAAACTGAATGAGTCGACCCTGTAGCTTAGTTCTCCACTTGCCACCATAATAATAACCTTTTCCTTTTAATTTTATTTGCGCTCATATGTCATGTAACCTTTTAGACTTGATCAGTGTCGCAAGATGTGTTTCAATTTATCTCAGTGTACTTCTAATTCGAAAGGCTTACTTCTATGCTTAACTATCTTTTGGCGCCGGGACTTACTCTACTTATCCTATATCCTGGAACCTCATATATTTTGCTCTGCTTTTAAGTCAACAAAAATTGGGGAGTAGGGATGGGTTGAGTTTGTTTTATCGCGCCCTGCTCCGAGAGTTTTTCGCCGGGTTCTCCGTTTTTCCTCCCTCCACAGAAACATATTCCAATTTGACCAGGATAGAGGACCCGGATGAAAACCAGCTAAGGCTCATGTGGCTTTCTCTCTAAATATTGTAATTTGTTTTATTTCGTTTGTTCATTTTAATTGTTTACATCACTGAAATCACACTATACCCACACAAAACATGTTGCGCTACTTTTGGTGCCATGTATCGCGGAAGCAGAAATGCGTTAAGTTACAATCACTTTACTAAAGTTGCCACGTTATGTATAATTAGAGACTGGTTTCAGACGCCGGCCCCCAACCGCTCTTTCTAACATGACGGAAAGAAATCAGAGATATTTCTAGAAAAAAAAACAGCGGGATTCTGGCCAGCTTGCCTCTTTGACTGTCCGTTGCCTTGGAAATGAAAGTCTTTCGTCTCGTTACGGACGAAAACATCTGCATCGCGCGCACTTCATTGACAAAGACCGAACGAAACGAATTTTTAAACGTTTCTTCAGTTCACATGGCCAAGAAGAACGTTTCTTGCTGATATTTTGGTTTCCTCTGTGACATGTTAGTGATGAAGCGGCTGCAATGAATATTCTTTCAACGAAATCTTTGTTCGGTTCTCAGGGGAGCGAAGAGGTTAGTGTGCTATTTTTTTCGCTAGTGTAATTAGAAGTCGTTCTATCAGCGAAATCGATAGCAACGGGAAAACGTATTGCTTTAATTATTTGTTCATCACGCTGGAATGGAAATTTTATTTAAGGGGTATTTCCTCTCTTAAGCATCAAACTTACATATGCAGGTAGCGGCACTGTTCTTTCTACAAGCACCGGCATATTGTACAATATTTATTGATTTATTGGTAAACTTGTTGCATTGTTTATTTTAACTGAACTTGTGAGGGAAAAGAAGAGAGCACGGATCCGGGGAGGAATTCAGTAAACGGCTCGTCAATCAGTTTCATTGTCGGTCAATTTAGTTTTAAAATCGTGTTCAGACTGCTCAGATGAGCGTGCAGTCTGTAAATCATTATTAATTAATTAAATGGTATTGCATTACAAAGCTTCTTTTGAAATTCAGACTTCCAGCTGCAACGGTTTTTACACTTTGCGTTTATCGCACGAAACTTTCACGACACGAAGATTGCTTACCATTTAGCCAAAGAATCCGGAAATTTCGGCTGATAGTCGAGCCAAGTCAAATCTGTTTGGACATTGCAGACACCCTCCAGAGCAGTTTGAAGCGGTAAATTGGAAATTCCTTGCCATGTGCTGAAATTCCAGTTTCTGAGTTTCCAGTCTCTCGTCAACGGGGTAAACAATAATGGCAAACCCTAAATGGCACGTGCCATCTAGTTCGATTGATTTGCTGGTCAAATTTTGAAAAAAACCTTTACCACTATCATTCGATGCAGTTTTTCTTCTTTTTCATTGGCCGAGGAACCAACCACGTGATCTGCAAATAAGTGCCTGCAAGTAATGGACTGCTCATGCGTAGTACCGTCTACTGTGTTTTGCTACAAACAACATTCTTCTCATGCGTAATTGTAACCACGCTTTTGTGTGAAAAAATGGCAGATCGTTGACGTGAGCTGTTAGAGAGTGATTTAACATCTTCAGTTGAAAACAAACTTGGTGACATGATAACACAATTATATATTGAATTTGTTTTTCGCAAAATATCGCGATTTGTCAAATCTGTTATGTTCTCGCCACCGACAAATCACGATATTTTGCTCAACCT